GTTGTTCATTAACTGATGAATCGATTGATTGCTATTTACTCACTGGACAGAACTGCTAGTCATCATCAGTTTTTTTTCAGACGCACTAGACGTCGTTCTTTGATGAAACGATAACCACTGTGAAGCTCGTGAACAATTTACGTCCACTGATGAGGTGTCCGAAGAACATCTTCAGGGAACCCAAAGATTTTTTCAAACCTGATTCGGGTCCCTGTCAAACGCCTCGTTGATGTAATTTTGATATTTTTATTTTATTCATAGGTCTTGAAAACAATGGATTAAGGGTTGATGCGTAAGCATTTGCTTCACTGTCGAAAAACGACCTCATACCGAAGCACGATCGAAGTCAATATAGGTGTCCGAAAAGCCACGGCAGTTTTGGCAGCGATCGATTGCTAAGTACCACGTGACCTGACTGCGTACACAGTTGACTGTTGTACGAGATACGCAGTATTGTCCTGAAAATTTGTATCTGGAATGAAGAGACCACGATCGGCACAAAGCGGATAAATCAGAAATTGTTTTCTATTTTTTCTTAACGGGAATGCCAAGCCTACCCACAAACTGTTGCTCACTGTCACCAAATAAAATGTAACAACTGTGCTTTTTGCTCGCAGAAGATTAGAAATTTCGAGAGGCTTTGACATCCGCAACACAGTTCGTCGAGGCGCATATCGAAATCACGAACAAGTTACGCATCCTTATTCGATACTGGAGGCTACTGATGGTCCCAGAGAGCACAAAAGCCCAGCCCAGTCTTCAGGGGTTCAAGCTCAGCCCAGTTTCTATACCATAGATTTCACGAGACTGCCTCAGGATCAGTTCGGATACCCAAACAGCTGGCATTCGTCTGCCTGGGTATGCACCGCACCTGTAGGGTCCTGGATTTACAAGACGTCAAGTTTCAATATCAAAGAGGAACGAAGAAGTCTGTTGAAACTGAATACCGCTCTGTGAAACGATTGCTCCGGTATAAAGCAGAAGCCACAGAGGAGACGAAACATCTGAGTCTAGAGTGCTATAAAACATACTCTAATATTCTATGGAGGAAAATGTCGGTAGCTCAGGTAGGGTGGATGTTCGTTGGCTTGTTCGCTGAGCTGGGCAATTTGATTGCAAACGTTTCACCATCAATCGAGGTGACATCATCAGTGCGTTATTGGGGAGCGTAGTGCTGCGCTAGGCACGACTAAAAGAGAATGTCTGAGACATCTTACCTTGAGTCTTAGACTCAAAAATCCCATCTGCGAATCAGCGAGAGGAACCCTGTTCCGAGATCCAGCCGGTAGCTTCTGACTTAACAATCTTATCTTCAAGTAAGCATTTGTTGGAGTTTCTTCGAAAGAAATTTCTTAGATCAAACAATTCAATTGTCCGACACAATTTGGTGCGGGAGACTGGCTTAGCCCAAGGGATCGGATAGTAAGGCACAGAAGTACGTTAAGTACTTTAACCGGGATGACAGGTCACTGCCAAGGGAGCCTGTCCAAGGGACCTGACCAAACTGACTTCAAATCATTTACGAATGGTTTACGAAGGTCCGATGGAATCCGATGCTTATCTCTGAGGATCACCGGCAGTCTTCGAGAACAGAGGTCCCCAAAATGCCTGGCCTCATCCAAAAGGCATATGAAGAGCAATAGCAGTCATGGGCTCTCAGTATCAAGATGTGGACTTGTGACTTCAGTTTTTTAGACAGGGCTCTTCAGCTTCGGTGACTTTTCTTCAGTGTTTATCCTTAACAACTACAACAAACCATAATGATACATCGGGGGTATGATGGTTCGTTATCCGTAAACACAACACAATCGGATCCCAAAGTTGTGATTGGTCTACATCAACCCCGCTAGTTGAGTCACCTGCTCATCATGACATTCTGACTTCTTCAGTGTGCATTCTACTTGACTGAAAACGGGATGGTCAATGGCCTGGCGACGGAGTACGAGGATATTAACTGTCAGATCATCCTCGGCCGGGGCGTCCAGTTTTCCGACTGGGACGACTGTTTATAGCTATGGATCGGCAGACATGACTCAAGTGATACTCCGAGGGACGTCCCTTACCTTACTGGACAGTAACGCCACTAGTGTAGACAAAGGATGTCATCAAACAATAAACTCAACCAAGCGACTGAACATCTTGTGACGCTGACACGAAAAACAGTCCAATCAGACCAACAAATGATCTGCTGGGTTCAACCCATTGTCACTGCCTTTGCATGCAAAATCAATCTCGCTCAACCTACCTGTTGAAGTCCTCGATCCCCTACCCTGAGTGACTAACGTCAGAATCACTGAAGTAGACGGAACGAATCACGTGACATCACCCGGGATGATCAAAACAAGGTTACAGGAGCGTAAGCCAGGTCTTGACAGATACCATTCGCACATAAAAAATAACTCTCTTGAAGGGGTGAATCTCTGTCGAATGCGGAGTCGACAGGACATGATGTCAGATTCTACTTATGAAATCGGCAGCTACACGGTTATTCAATCAACCACCTTGGACCAGTGGACCAAAAACAAACTATTTGAGGGGCACCAATCAAAAATTATTTGAAATCCTGAGTGGTTTAACATGCATAGAAATCACATTAGTATTGGAAAACCACCTGCACACAGGGTCTCGTAAGGTAGTGGAGAAAAAATTCAATGTTTGTATTAGATACCACCCCGGAACAGTGGAGTTGTCCATCATGTAAGGTCACACTGATCGACGTCATGTTGTAAAAGTTCCAGAACCGAGAATGGCCATGTGACAGTCTTGCTAATCATAAAACTTCCGTGATGCAGAGTAGCTCACCCATTTGAATACATAATTAACATGACTGTGAGGTACAGTAGAATTTGGATAAATCCCTCACGTGCGATGTTTCTCGAAAGTACGGGCAGTGCAAAAGCTATCTGAGGATTTATTTGGGCCACTGGTTGGTGGATAACGCGTCAAGATAGTGTATCGATTGAAATTCGAGGGCTACGACTAGCTGAGGAGTCATTTCAGAACGAAACTGGTAGTGAGTTGTCCATGAGTCTTCATCACACAAGTGTCATTTCTAAGGAACTCTCTAGCCCTTTGATTGTTGAGCGCAAGATTTCATCTGTCACCTACGCATGTCAGATCTCTCAATTAACCCGTCTAGACCGAATTCCAATCTGGCCATCGATCAAACTGATATAGGTTCTCCGTCATACAGCAGAGAAAGCGATTCGTGGGAGTTTGAGGGGCGGCAGAACAGATTGTAACTCCTCGTTTGAACACGAAAGTCCAGCAAGCTATTTGACGTTACAAGATAATAAACACTGCAAACACTGTTTTTCAAGGGAAAAATATGCACTAGTCCGAGCAATCGGAATGAAATTAGCAGTCTCACAATACGAGGATAATCGTTCTAGGGGTGTTTTGAAGTTGACGTGCTGTAGGGAACGATTTCATAAAATCTCCACGAGGTCCAACTGAGGGACATACTGAGATGAGTTTACTTACATTCCAATGGGAAAAGCTTAGGCTCTGGAGTCCTTCATTACGTGGTAACCACATTAATGGATGAATGCCATCTGGTGTTTCCTGGATGGAGATAAGGAAGACGGCAGTTACCCACCCGACTAAGTTTACTGGTTGGTGTTTTAGTACTTCGTTGCCAGGTCATGCACTGTTCACCTCTCGCTGGCTTCCACTCAGCATAGGACTGGGAAAAAAGAGCTCTGTGAGGCAGACGGGCTTCTGGCATGCGGAGTACATGTCCCAACCAGCGCAACTTATGAAGCGTGAGTAATTCACCTATCGCGGGTGCTTCCCTGCTCCTAAAACCATCTGGCGTACCTCAGCATTACTAATCCGATGTTCCCAGCAGACCTGACCAATGTTGCGGAGACACCAACACCTTCTGTATGTCCTCTGCGCGTAGGGGCCACGTCTCTGATCCACAAAGCAGTATGGATTGCAACACCGCAGTGTAAACTCTTCTATTGACAGACAAACTCACGTCACGTCAGCGCCATGTATGTCGGATGTTGGCAAAAGCTGCAATGGACATGCTGGTGCGGTATTCTCTCCATATGAGCGATCTCTAAGAAACACCCCAAAGAAAAGTAAACACAGTAATACCCTTTTATACGAAACCTCGAAAGCGACCATCATTGCGAGGCGACGTGTGCACAATATGAACTCTACGTGTTAACAAATTCCTTCTGTACTCGAAAACCAAATAACTTACACTCACAAAGCAACACTCGTGGAGAGAGGAGCACAAGTAATTCGGGGGTAATTTGCTGCTTCATCAGGGACCTGTACCTAATTATGCTGGCCAAATAAAACGGAGAATAAACCAAGACACAGAGAGTTACTGGGTGCAGTTCACACAACTGGTATACATATGTTACAGTAATCGTGTGATTTGGGCACCACTTCATGCATCTGTTCGTCCCCCATTGAAAACATCAAGCTTGTGCGGATTGGCGAGGACATAGCAACCGAAAGACTGTGTACTACACGTTGTACGCCACGGTAAGGTATGGCAACCAGATCAGCTCAAACACAAAATCTCGACTGCCAAGAGAGAGATGGTACATGAAAGATATCGCGTTCCGGGATCACAACAGACCAATCTGTGTCCCATCAGACTTACAGAATATTACATAAATCGATATCTATTCAGAAACACCAACGAAACATCCAATTCGTGGTGGCAGTTGTTTCTATCTAATTGGTTTGCAAACTTTGGTAACCTGAACGCAAAGTTTTCGTACCTGAGTTTTATGCTGGCTTCATTGTGGTCTAAACTTCATTTAAGGACTACCCGAAAATACGAGCAACATGAACGCTCCTCAGTGGTGTTTCTGCAGGGAGCGTGTTGTACAGTATGTTGGTGAAGGTGGTGAATTCCCGTTTAGTCTGTCACACTGCAATCCATTAAGAAATACCGAAAAGACTGAACTGTACATTAATGGACAAAATGCAAATCTACGGGTAAGCACACGAAGAATACTGTGGCTGTCACTCACATGAATATATAGATACTTCAGCACACGTTTGTGCGTCAGAATGTGTAAGGGGTTCCCGCCGATCGGGTCGATCACCGGGAGCCTGTGCACTTTGTGGTTAAGCAACTTTTGTACTGCTTCCAGCAATGTCTTCTCTGGAGTAATACTGATCAGCGGACGTTGATAATCTGTCAGTTGTTCTGTTTGGAAGAAAGCACAAAACAAGATGGGTTGAACAGTTGAAAGTGTAACAAAGCGTATGCTTGTACCTGTGACCAAATTACTGCTGATATGGATCTCTAAAAAAGTTGCATAATGAATCGAACAGAGTACACCAGGTGCCATCGACTATTCTTCCATCAGAAACACACTATAGTGTGCTTTGAATCCGAAATTTTCAAAGACCTTTGCTTTGATCCTTAGCCTGAACTTCATTTCATAACGTCTTTATGCAAGCTGGTACCCCCTTGCTAACATAGATCGACCGAAAAGGAGATCCGGGCAGACATATGAGCACCGTATCAGAAATGGGAAACAACTGTTTCAACCTGTCCCGCTTAAGACAGAATACTAAAACTGATCGACATTCCATGGATTGATCAGCCCCATGTTCTGGTGGTGCTGAAAGCCTAGTACCTCCATCTGTAGCTCTTATTATGCTCACTTTTCAGCTAATGATGAAAGGCTTTGAAACAAATAGACAATGGAACCGAATACAGTGTGAATTTTGTAGTAATCAATAGATGACCGTACTCGGAACGGAAGGATACAGTGAAACAATCATCATTGCTGAATACCGAATGCAGTGGGCAAAACAGTTTCGCAGCCCTGCACGATAATTCGTTTGTTTCTTGATAGATTGAATCAAACTTTTCAACATTCGGAGTATTCGTGAATGTCATCATACTTTGCCTAACCAAATCATCCGTTTTTGTTGGATTCGACTCGTAAGCAAAAGGATCGCAGTTCGTAATCAAAGAGGAACTCTCAGGAAGGCAAAAGGGGACAAACTCTCTCAGAACGAGTAAGACTCCAGGTTGATGAAGTTTTCAGAAAATACGAAGAATGCTAGCAAAACGAATCAGTGTTTCACCTAATGTCAATACAATGTAACCCATACAGTTTCTTTAATCTTCATCAGAAGCTACAGGTTCTGCAAGCCCTTTCGTTACTTCGAATGGTATGCCAGGTAGACACCAAAAGGGTGTAACAGCTGAATGAGTCGTTTTAAGATGTAGCCGAACCAAAAGTTCAGATGCTCGATCACTCTATGCTCAACTGATGAATCCGAATGAGGAAAAAACAGCTCGCGTACTGAGCTTCTCAGGATAGATTCCTCACTAAAGTTGGGCTAGCGGATTTGAGAGATACGCATCTGACATTTCCACTATGGTGAATTTCTGGCAAGCCGTGCGATTGAACTCGACTGAAACGGTCGTAGTAGATACGGCTAATTTCCTGGTTCTGATTTTCCTCCTTCTATGAATCCACTATCCGGTTTTCAGGCTACACCATGTTGATCGCAGAAAGTGAGAATATTTGGTGTTGCTAGATTGCGTGGTTACGGAACACGGTTCATCAAAGGCCTATTGATACAATGGCTCCCTGCTTCGTGGAGTGTAAAACACCGCTCAACAGTCGGCACGGAAGTTCCAGTTTCAATAACCCTGTTGCATGAACAGGAATTCGTGGGGTTTTTTTAGACATGACTGCTGAGCCAGGCGCCTCGGCCAACCGAAAAACCAACTAATACTAGGCTGCCGCGGGCACATGGCTTGAGAATGTACTCAGAGGCATCTTCAATGTCTAGAACTCTCGCTATTAAACTCCATCTTCAACACGACCGAAGCTTTTCTTCCCGAACAAGCTATCAGTGCTTTGATGTCAAAATTACCCACCGAGATACAACACCGTTAAATGGGAGTTCGGGACTGACGCTTCCGTTGGCAACGAGGACAATGAATAAATCTGGTTTGTCCAGTCCGGATAAGTTCGACATGCACCACTCACGTCAATGTGTTCTCTAAGAAGTAACTGTTTGAAGTCCCTCACTGCGGTCGGCGAGACGTTTGCGTTAACAAGATAATGTGAACGTAGTACTTTAAAAACATGTGGTACGCACCTCGCCAAGTCTTAATTTGATGGTTCTCCAACTCGGTCATTGGGGTAGTTGGGGACCGATAATACTGATGTAGGATGCGGATAAAATCGGTGATGGTGAGCATGCCAACATGTCGTTGTTCGTCCGAGTCCCACAGGATAGCCACCCGTACTCCGTTGTAGACGAGGGCGAAGAACGCCTTTTTAACCTAGAATAATCAGTCGAACTCGGGCACCGAATGAGAAACAGGGTTACATTCAAAGTCACGTCGAAGACAACCAATTTGGCACTGAGCGGGATAAGGTCATAGCATGTGTGGCCCTTCAGAAAGACACGATAGGACTTGTCCGTATCGGCTGCAAGCGAAGCATGAAAAACAGGAGTCACTTATGAACTCACATAACGATTCGATGTGAACGTCCGACAATGATTCTGGACCCTATGGAGGTGAGGTAAACGAAAATAAAGAATCGTTACAACAGAAAACAGCAAAAGCAATAAAAAAATTCCCGAAGATTGGGCAGAGACCAGGGTCGGTGAACACAGTTCTAACTACGCGACATTCAGTGGGCAAAACTTGGGAAGCACAGTACCCATCCTTCGAGGATATGCCTCCCAGGAATACCAAAATGCTGCTTCCAGAGTGATGCTTCCCCCTGGCAGGACCGACTTCTAGTCCTTGGCGCAGAAGTGCTAGAACCTAAACCGTATGCGGGTGTCAAAAACAGATCTTTTGTGTCCAGTAGAATAAGGCGTTCATAAACTGAATAAGATTGACTGCCAGTCGGAGACCAAGCCTATCAGATTAGTCACAGATAAAGGAGTAAAGCGACAGGGGATTGTCCAGGACTGTTCGTTAACCTGTGAATAGTACCACAGTTTGAATACTGTTACAAACAAAACACACCTGCAATAAGGGAACAGTCAGTAAGCTAAAAAAAATTAGACGGAGGCTCGGTATTGCCCAAACTACCCGTTATTATTCCTGATAAAGTAGTTTACTTCGTGGTGATTATTAACATGCATGGCAATACCCCACTGGTGCTTGACTGATATAAACCCATAAAGAAGGCACAGAGTGCAAGAATATTTATCTGCAGGGAAACGACAAGAGGGAATGTACCTATTAGCCGCGACATCACTTTTGAACAAGACGTCATCGGTGGGGCCGAACAAGCACGCCTTACGAAACTCACCCAAAAAAAATCAGCACAAAACGACAAACAAACGTCAACTAGATGGTCCAACATAGAGGTAACCATAAACCCGCCGACGGGGACGCTTACGTTCGACGTCCTGTAGGGTTTTTAAGCATGATCAAAGAGAATCAAGTGGAGCCCATTCAGGAAAGCAGGAAAACCTTAAAACATTTTAACAGTAGCTGCGTCGCTGCGCACGACCAATCGTTCAAGAGACATCCAAAAAAACGAGCTTGGTTGACTGGATTCCAGTAAATAGGTGCTTTTGCATGTTTGACTGACGTGTTCTGTTGAGATAAATGCATCTGGACACAGGACATGATGTTTACTAGTCGTATCGGCACACATTCCAACAGAAGGCAACTCCGTGGCTGAAAAGGTGGTTTCTACAGAAATTTGTAACAGTCCTTTCAGTCATCAAGAAGTACAGGTGTTGCGATACCAACAAATGAGATGAAGGCTCGAATCGGTGGGCTAAACTCGGAAGAAGGTTATGTTGGTGTTCGATTCGGGATGGATGTTCGTCTCACAAACTATGAGGAGCGAATTCCCAGAACAAACTTTCAACGTCTACGCTCACACCGTGCAAACTGGAGGCCCGCAACTGCAAACCACCCATGGACTCAAATGGACCATATGGCAAACATGTACCGGTGTAACGGTGATACTACTGATCGGGAGGCACGCCAGTAGTATGTATTGTTCGTAGAATTTCGCTTTGCGTCGATTGAAAAATGGAATTCTGTTGCGGAATTCGCGGGGCCACTTTGTAACATTTGCTTTTATTTGACCGACGAATGATTGGAGGCAATGAATCTCCAGGAAGAGTCGTTCGGGAGAAGATCTGTGTCCAGTTTTTGTAACTAAGATGCAGATTAGAGTTTTGCTTCCTTGTTCAATGGTCTGTAACCGGTTAGTTGGCATTTCCGAATAAATAACTCCGCAGCGAAGGCCTTCTTCCTTTCACCGGTAGAGACCTTCAATTCACAATTGTGGTTCACTCTCGAGTACATATCTTAGTCCTGACTATTGTACTGTATGAATACTCGTATGAATTAGGCGGAAGAAGAAATCACTTTCCGAACAGACCACGACAGCATTTGCCAATTTGCGACATTTGTGACACCGATGTGATATCAGCTTTCCTGTCAAGGGTAGCTTGTACTAGACTGTGGTCCGATTTGTATTACTTTATCAATGTCGAAACTGTTTGACCATCGGTGCCTCCGAAGGATTGCGCGGACCTCGTGAAAACATCAGATCAATAATGCTGGCTTTCGGAAATGTACATCCTTCCTGTAGTTAACTCTACGCACATCAGACCATCTACTTTTCATACTACAGGACGGTTTGCCTCAAGGAATACTTCAGCCAAGTCGTGTATGGGATGGAGATCTCAGGGTGGTGGTCAGTCAATGAATTGGCAGCGAAACATGAAAGCCCTTACCAGTCAACTGAGCTGCGTTGGTAGCTGCTGTCTCCCCGGATGGGAGGCCGCGGGACGAGACAAACCACTGGTTGATATTATTGCGTCACATGGCACCCTCGCATTCAAGCTATCGTCTCCACTGCGTAGCTCTAATTTCTCGCCAGAATTAGCAAACGAACATACGTCAAGTTGGCCACACTGACCGAAAACCATGTAAGAGTCAATGTAGACACTAACAGAAGTGTGGGAATGTATTCCATATGAACGACACTAATTCGAACAACCTCTAAAGAGAATTGGGGTGCGGTCATCAAGATATCGTCAAGTGATTCGGACCGAAGTCTAAACTCCTTGGAGGCGTGGAGATACTTGAATGTCAACCGCGCGAGGGGGGACAAGGACACTAACAGAAGTAACGTCATCACAAATCTTCAGAGAGCAAATTCAGACACATTATTCGGTATTTCACGGGTTGCGGCGAGCGAAAATCGAAACCTTAATTCCCGAAAAACAAAGATGCCTCAAATAAACAAACGGCCCATACAATCGGAATGACAAATGGACAAAAGGCAACTCATGGAAAGAAGGAACACCGGAATCACCAAAACAACAGCAGTTAACTATGCACCTGACCCCCGGAATCGAAGCAAACGTAAGAACATTCGATGACCGCTCCCGAGGCGAGCGATCACTCACAACCCAATTGGGAGATCTGGCTCACCACATATGCCTCAGACGTCTGCATCTCGGCTGGGAGCTAATATATATTTTCTGAGCTGACTAGAAGCTTGGAAGAGCAGGTGATACTCTTGCACCGCTCTGCGATGCATTGAGGATGCGGAATCAACTACACGGCAAATATATGACTCCACCATGCATCGTTCAGTCTTAACATTCAGGTGATTCGAAAGATGTGAAACTGTGCGCATTCAAATACCGTGGTACACGCATTTGCCAATAGATGGATTTAACGGTTCGAGGTCCTTTGAATGATCAAGTTTATCGAGTATGTCGGTGCTGTCCCGGCGTGTGCATCAAAACGTTTGGGTTCAGTACGATAAAGCATCTGTCAGATATTACTTAAATTGACTGCCACACTGAGAGGATATGGTTATTTCGAATGAGAAATAAAGTGACGTGCGAAGGTCTACTGAAACCTGACCTCTTTTCCCGTCCGCAGCTGGAAAAGCCCAAACGTCCCCACGCCAAGCACAGTTAACAAACAAACAGCCATATGACCTACGACTAATTGACACTGCCGAGCTGTTAAATATGCACTCATTAGCATGCAACAGGTGTCCATGGGCGCACGCCAAGACTACGCAAACAGTCCCAACACAAAAATTGTTATGAAAGCGTTTTTTTTCTCGGATAGCTTGAAGTGGATAGTTTATGGACTATACTTCATTCTTGGAATGTATGCTGGCGAAAAATAACCATGCGCTGGGAAGGGAAACAGTTTCATGTGAAAAATACATAGTTACCTTATGAGTATCCCAAACGACCATGTATTTCTCCCCACTTAGACTGGAATACCTCCGCCTTCCCTTGCATGTACTCATAGGCCCGTCACCCCCGGACATTTTGTGACCTTCACATTGACCTTGAATTGAAAATCCGCGCAAGACAGATTCCCGTTTTCACGAGTGGATTCTGAGCATCGAGGCTCACGCCTAGAATCCGAAGATCAGGTGTGGAAAAGTATTTTGTGAGGCCTCAGCCTGTAGCGTTTTGAAGTCGTTGCTGTGCACCAACTAATTTATTACTTGGAGTGCTTCCTCAATCGTTGCACTAACCCTCTCTAAATCCCTCTGAATCCTCCCTATCTGATTAAGCTTTCCTTACATCACAGCTGGCCATCACCAATCCCATCACGGCTTTCTGCTATCCGCTGACAAAAACAACACTTCTACCATCCTCACCATAACTTGCAACCATCCAATATTTAACAGCACCCCCACACAAACCTGGCTAATCTTAAAGTTTGTGTGCATTGTGTGGAAGGCGAGCTAGCTTCCTTCCAAAACATGCGGTCAATTGCTTGCCTTCGGACTCCTGACGCAACATGTGTTCCGTAAAACCTTGAAAAGGCACAGATTCTCATTGACGCGCTCGCATCTGAGATTCGTCAGCGTTAGCATTGATGTCACCAGGTCCCAATATACAGCCCACTTGGTCGCATCCCGGTCGAACCCACAAAATCTGCTCTCCTGACGGCATTTAACATGTTTCAATCCGTCCGCAAAGTTCGGCGACTCCCAATGTCGAAACCATCCCTGTGTTGCCTAGTAATAATAAGATTCAAGTACAAATATGATTATACACGCCCACTGGCATCCCAGACGCCCCTTTCCTCTACCTCGGAACCACAAACAGTAAAGACCAAAGCTGCCCGCACTCGACCGAAAAGACATTTTACTGAATGTTCATCATAGAATGTTCGACAGAATCGACCAGTGAAAGCTTCCTCACGGGCCCCTCTTCCCTTCAAACATCTGCGGCAATCAATACTCTTGGCGTCATTCAGTTGCAAGCTTCCAAATCGACCAAATTTTGGACAACTACACAAGGCAGATCACCATTCACGCATGAACGCGCAGCACCCAAGGATTCACCACTGAATGCCAAAACACCCAATCGACCGGGTCGCTTAGGCACTCGGAGAAATTTTCGTTGGTACCCCTACCGTCCCCGACAACCCCGAAGCCGTACCCACGCCATTCGGGCCAGTCGGGCCAATCGAGCCGCCCCCATTATTGCCTGAATTGACGAATTTTCAATACTCTATCAACGGTCCTTTGGGCACTCACTTATGCCGTCGCACCGCACAATCCTACTTATCGGCTCCGGACCACGTATTTCTGCTCATGATAATGGACCATCCACTTCGATCCCTGAGCACCCATTAATGTCATCACCGATCCCCATGAGGCCAGCAAGACGGAGTTCTGATGAGGGCGGTTTTGCCTACGGAGGCAAAGGACCCAATTTTCAGTCACCTTTTATCTTCCAGAACACAACTACAAGTTGTCAAATATTTTATACGATCGGCTTCCGGTTAATCGACGGCTAACCGAAGACGAGCTGGACACCTGCAGTGGCTACCTGTATTATGGAACGGCATCATGTGAGGTGCGGCAGTTTGTGGCGAATGAATTCGTCATATTCTTGCCATTCAGGATACATACAACCGCCGCCGAAGGTGTCGACCAGCTCTTGAATAGGTGTCCCATAGTTGGGTTTTATTGTAGCAAATGATATGTCTTCGGTCCTGGCAAAGCCTCTGGAGACCCGACGTGCGCTTGTGCGGCAGTTGGAGGAAGGTCACTATAGCCACATAGGCTTCTCCCGATGGCAGTAGATAGCGTTGTTCCGACGTTTTCCGGATGTAGCGAATGCAGAGAATGGATGCAACCAACCATTTTCGGTAAGTTTTTCGGCCTGTGGCTACCACCTGTATACCTTCTTGATGGGGGACAACATATGAACCGGAAGTCCGGTTATGTATGCGCTCGTGGAGGGCAAACAGTTCCCTCTTATGCGTGAAATGGTTGACCTGATCGTGGAAATGGTACGCCAGTATTATTTGAATAAGTCTTTGGTTATGGACAAGTTGGCGGCGTAAATGTGGGCGGCAAGAGTCCTGTTCAGCTGCGATATAATGCTCCGCTACTTTCATATGCGAAGCGCTCGCAGGACGCACGCATCATTTAATATAAATGTATTTTCGGTCGTAGACACTCTGCAATCAGCCGGTCCATATCCCACCGCATGGCTCGCCTGGACAACGCCATACAAGAGGTATTTTTATTCATTGTATTACAAGTCCACAGATCGCAACAGAATCTGCAGCTTCCGTGCCACAGGGCTCCTCCATTTTTCTCATCTAATGGCTCGTTAGTTGCACACCGCCCGAGAACGGGCCGTACACGCACAGTCCGGAAAGGTTCACTTTGGCAATGTGACCAACAACCGTATGGAGAATACGAACGGCACACGAACGGATTGCACCAGTTCGATGCATTGAAGCATGCCATACAAAAGATGTCCCGGCACGCCTAATGGCTCATGAGGGAATTTGAAATGGATACATCTTATCACTATGATAGACTGCAAGTCTTGGAAGGTGATGCCTACATTCGTAAGATGGACTCTCGAGTGACTGCGTATGCATGTTCCATCGTCCAAGGGCACTTGAGACCACAGTCGTTAAGGCTGCCCTATGATAGCGTTGAAACAAACTAGGTGAGATAAAGCTACGTAAACCAAATTAAAGTTTGTGGTGCAAATACCCAGAAACTCCCAGACGGTCGACACGTGTGCTGGAGACTGCACATGCACTTTCTACCCAGAGATATAACTCCCCTGCATGCATTTGTTCTCTGTATTTACAAGTCAGTCCGTTCCAAGCTGTTAGAACCACTCTTGATACATTTTTGTTTTGCTTGCTTCCAAATCCACCAACGATATCTATCGGATAACAAACCTATTCCTTACAATTATTCCCAAGCCACCGCCGACAACTTTTGACGGCCTTCGTTAACCACTTAATCCAGTGTTAGATAGTCCTCATACGCGGGAACCCAGGAAGACCATGGCCATCTTCGGGCAACTGATTGTCAGTGGGCAAAGCCTGCTTTTTCAAGGCCCAGCGTCTGCTATTTAAGGCTTGTCATAGGTGGACGAGGATGCTGCTTCACAAACTAGATGGTGTAGGGACACAGGCTTGGGCTTCTGTGTTCACTGTGACCGGCCAACTACTACCAGTGGCCGCTGGTGTGCGGAGGATTGCGTATCATATCACGCCGACAGTTGAAATGGTGAACATTGCCCGCTGTGCTATGGTGTTCTTCAGGTTAGTCCCAAAAATGAGTCCACATAAAAATTAAATTACCTTTGGTTCCTACCCCTGTCCCATCTAGAAAATGCAATGGTGTGCTTACCACCCGCAAAGAAGGCGTCTTATAGACCTGGACCACATAAAAATTAAATTACCTTTGGTTCCTACCCCTGTCCCATCTAGAAAATGCAATGGTGTGCTTACCACCCGCAAAGAAGGCGTCTTATAATGTTGACCTGGACCGAAGTACAGAATCCCAGCACAGTGTGTCCCAGAAGTCCCTGTGTCCGTGTTTTCCGTCCAAGGATGAACTACTTGACGGCCGTGAGTAAACGCCAAACTACTACGACTAACGCTGTAGAGCGCCAGCCAGCTAAAATAGAAGATGATTTCATATGACCCATCAGCTCCAGACAGTTCGTCTGCTGATGGGATCTCATCCATCTCTTTTTAATGTACTACTCATGAGGTTGCTGAAATTTCGTCGACAGCCCACGACCGGTTTTGCCCACTTTGGGGCTCACTAGGTAGGCGCATTACTCCGGTTTCTGTCAATCTTATGTTCTACTTGAAACCAAATTGCACGGAATCAGCAAACATACACTCATTTGCAAACTAATTTGGTTTTTCGAGAGGCTCACCTGGAACCCAACTGAATCTCTCGTTTGCGATGATTTCATCCATTTCATGCAAGTCTCGTATTTCTTAGGGATATATGTAAAGCATAGCCGCTGAAGATGACGTTGTGTAAACAGACATCTACGGCGTTATATCCGCTGAAGCGCTCTCATTTTAGAATAAGTATTCCTCTCATTATGTATGCCGCCCGCCTCATTGTGATATTTCGACGTGATAAGTTATATTGGCTAGCCTGGATTTTCTGCTGCAATTTCGGCTTGCCTGTTGAACAAGTTCAAACCCGTATACAGAGTTTAGGTCGCTCTATGTATTAGCAACTTGCCCCCATCCAACCCATCCCCCTGCACCTGACCTCCCTACAACAGTGCAACCAGTGAGTCTGCTTGCTTTCAGATTAAACCACATTTTTGAGACAAAACTTGCCATGTGCTCCCAGTTTGAGTTACCCCGTCTCCATCTCCACTTTTGCTCGTTGTGACTCCGGCCATTCACCTAATCACCCAAGGTCACTCATGGCCAGCAATGGTTCTCAGTTTTAGTTCATGCCACCTGACCGTCTTTGATCTAGTCGGACTTCACGTCCATTTTTCCCAACAAGTTTGGAAATAACCTATTATTACTATATCATCGACTATTCCCCACTGTTTATTACATTGTCCTCCTTTTGTGCAATCCGCACCCCCACAAATCCCCCAGTCATGCTCCATTCCGACTGTAAAACTACGATCATGCCAGACGGTATGCAACCCACAAGTTGGGAATAGACCTTATTATTATTATCCTCTCATTGCAGGACGACAATGGGCAGATGAACACTTCTAAATAATAAGTTCGCGCGCTCCCCGGCAATACAGTACAAATCAGCTTTTTATGTCTACTGTTTTGGACCTTTTTCCCGATGGAGATGGACAGGCGAGTTTCGACCAGCTGATTAGGTATCGCAGACCCCTATCCGCGTGTTTGACGCGTGCGTCAGCCAGGTCCGTTCGGCTGTCTACAACGGCAGACGTTGGTCTAATCTGGCTAATTAATCAAATTAAAGGTCTTCTTAGCGCAATTTGCGGGGCATAACGGAAAACCCAACTGTTTACCAACAAACTTGCGCGGGTTTTCGCCA